TACAAGTTGCAAAGATGCACCCAGGCATTTCGAGAACTTATAGTCTATACAATAATTCAAAGATTTAATAATTCACTTTAAAAAATAGGGATGCATAATTATGTAATGTAACACTAATAGTACAACACGATGTGAATAACATTGTGAATGCAAGTTTATAAACAGAATTCGTCAATGGTTGTAAGTAGACATACACATTTTAGCTGGGGTTGTGCTAGTAGAAATCGAGACTCTATTATGGTTCGATGAGAAGAAAGTTTCGAAATAATCTTTTACATATTGTGGGCGGACCAATGGATGTCAACTAGAAGATTCCGAGTAAGTCATTTTGTGGAAGAAAATGACAAAACGTGAAATAAAAATGACTATCAATTTCGTTATTAAATTTTATTATCACCAACGTTAAATATGTAATGTGTTCACATGATCTATATCTCATTAAATCGCCGGAATATAGGCGATTGATTGTTTTTTTTTTTTTTTTTTTTGTTTTTCCAAACAAAAATGTCGATCACTTCATATTTATGTTTACTATGGGCCTTTTTTAATCCAACCTCTAGGATATTGTCGCTAAGTTGTGAAATGTTTAGCAGCGTCAAGTTGAACGTACGTAAACTTGCGTGTCTGTGGGACATGCGCGTTTTCCTATTTTTTAAGTAACACGTACTGATTGGTTAGTTCTTAAGCTTGATTAACACTTGGAAAGGTTTTTTTTTTGTCTTGTTGACTCCAGATGAGCATAAAACACCGGAATATAGGCGATTAATTGTTTTTGTTTTTTGTTTTTTTTTCTGCAAACAACAATGTCGATCACCTCATATTTATGTTTACTACGGGCCTTTTTGAATCCAACCTCTATGATATTGTCGCTAAGTTGTGAAATGTTTAGCAGCGTCAACTTGAACGTACGTAAACTTGCGTATCTGTGGGACATGCGCGTTTTCCCATTTTTTTAGGTAACACGTTCTGATTGGTCAGTTCTTCAAACACAAGGGCGTTATGATTGGGTTTCTCGGGAAAACTCTCCATAAAGGTCATAGATATATAAACGGATATACTAGAAATCAAACGAGTAATAAAATTAACAATAATATACATTTATTGTAGAGGTACTAACTATTATTTTAAAACACTAATTTAGGCATAGGACCTATTCACCGGTGATACTGTACATCCAATATATCAATAGCAAGATAACAACAGCATACATAAAATATGCCTATAATATACATAATATTAACAACGATATAGCAATGCATGATGTGATTCATTTACTAAAGTAAGTCACTTAACACTTTCCAATAAAGTTAATATCATAGTATCCTTATAGAAAATGTCTATTCTGTTTAACTACCAATGAGTCAGGTTTATGATTGGATTAATGAGGTATACTCATGACGTCATCATAATAAATTGTGCTACGGCAATGTGTCTGGTATAATGGTTCGACAACTAAACCATCCTCAATATGGAATCTAGGATCATAAAATAATCAACCTTTGCACGATTTTTTAAGGGAATATAACAAATTATGAATCAAGTATTATAATAAGAATTAATTTACACATTACAACTTAACGGAATGATAAAAATTGTTAAGCTTGTCACATACCTTGCTATATTCTATTGTCAAAATGCGTTTTACATCTTATTTTGATATATACTTTATTTTAATTCAGTGGAAATTTCAATTATTACAATTTAGATCATCCGTCACAATGCATTTGTGTAAAGGTAGAATCATCATAACATTATTATTTCATGATTAAAATCATATTAATTTTTAGTAAGAGTAATTATGATGATGATCAGTAGGAGGATAAAGATGAATAATTACTTCAATAACAAAAATTATTAATAATTATGCACGTCAATACCATCTTCCATATAGGAGTTATTCAAAACCTTATGAAGAAACAAGAAGAGCGATATAATTATTTCATTTTATGAGAGGCGCTGTTAAAAATTCACTGTAGGCCCTATGTAAAGTCGGACACTCACTGCGTCACCCGACGGTCGTACGACCGTCGTATGACGAATCCAACCCGCTCCCTGTGAGCTTTAGACGACGCGACCTTGTCTGGTGATTGTCGGTTTCCGCTTGAAGAAATCGCCATTAAACACGATCCGTTGCGCGTACGTTGTGGCACTGCGTTCTTCATAGAATCGCACTCTCAGCAACCGTCGGGCGCAGTGAGTAAAACCCATGGAAAACCTCAACAAAACATAAAAAAATATTGCATTAAAAAATGATCGAATGAGTTATCAGTGACGCAGATATTTTACTTCAAGCATATTTAAACAGATATTCCAATCGATGCAAGAACACATGCATTTGTAGCCTGGGTGCAGTAGGAAATTAGCTGGAAAAAAGTAAAGGAAAATTTATTTTTGGTTTTTCTGATCAGTATATCATATAGTATCTCAGAAAAAATCCCCATTCTTAGAGCTTGGGCAATTTTTTTTATAGCACTTTGAAATGTTGACATAAAATATCCTATTTTGGACTAATTAAGATGGGGGTAGGGGAAATAAATGTATGTTTAATCACTTTTAAATATGCTATGTATATCAAATGTAAACAAGAACTTGGCTAAATAGTTACTCTTCACTCTCGTTAAAAAATTAATCGGAATGATGACATCACCACAAAAAATTCCAAAATGGCGTCCATTTTGGCGGTAAAAACTTGTATATAAGGTAAAACTAATTTTATTGTTATCAGATTACATATGCAATTTCAAAACAATGTTATACATACAACAATATATAACAATATATATAAATATATATATATATTATATATATAAAATTAATTAATTAATGAACTATCACAATATAAACCCACTGGAAAGAAAATAGTGAAATTTTGCTCTGAAAGACCCAACAATCCCATTTCTGGTCTCGGAAAAATTGTTATTTTTGTAAGATTATTATTATTACAGTATTACTATTGTTCTCAAAGTACAAAATACAATCTCACCAAAGCAATGTACAAATATAGAATATATATAATTATTTTAATAGTAGTATTATGCTTATTTATTATTATTATTAAAATCATTATTAACATTATTATATTATATATTACTGCATTGTATTCTTGTTATTTCAAAATTTTATTTTATTATTAAAATGAATTACATTGTTAGCACTGTTACATAATAATATTATTTAATTATCAGGCCCGTAGCGTGACTTAATTTGTGGGAAGTTCGTTTCGGTGGAAAGTGGACCCTTATCTCCGATACTCTGGAGAACATTGTAAAAATATCTATGAATATCAATTTAAATGCGGACCTTCTCCAGTTTTTTGGTGGTTTTTGGCTTAACCCCCACAGGCTACGGGCCTGTTTATAATATTATTATTACCACTATTGATATCATTACAGTATTATCATCATCCGTCATCATCATCCTCCTCTTATTCGTCATCGTCATTTATTCTTAAAATTAAAACAATATGGCTTTTGCCCTAATCTTTTATCATGGTTTAAAGATTTGTTTAGATGGTAGACAGCAGCGAGTAATCATTGATGGAGAGACGTCGGATTGGCTTCCAATCCAATCTTGCGTCCCCTAGGTTCCATTTTAGAACCTCTTATTTTTAATTTGTATGTGAATGACATCCCGCTTTTATTCGAACATTCAAAATGTCTTATGTTTGCAGATGACTTGAAAATTTGTAAAACAATTAAATGTCTTGAGGGCGCCAAAAAGCTTCAGGGAGACCTAAATAAACTCTGCTCTTGGTCTAAGTTATGGGGTATGGTACTCAATCAACTTAAGTGTAATACCTTAACTATTACTTTAAAGAAAAATAAAATCGATTATATTTATTTAGTTGACGACAAACCGAATAATAAGGTGCTGCAGCATCGTTATCTAGGAGTTATTTTAGAGAGTTCCCTTACTTTTTCTTTTCATATAGACCATCTTCTTAGGAAATGCAATATGTTGCTTGGATTGCAGTCTGTCTCTTATACACATCTAGATGTGTATAAGAGACATGTTTTGGTGAATAAATAAATAAATAAAAAAAGGACAATGAACTTTATTTCTGGCAATAAACCAAATACAAATTAACAGTGCTTATAATGTCTTCAGAATAAATTGCAAGAAATGGAGGAAACTGAAGTAAAAAACTTATGAGGTGTTTCCCCCAGAACATTTAAATAATATTATTTGCATTTTCCTTAAGACACAAGGCTAAAAACGAAAAGAAAAAACACATAACCATGAAGGAACGGATTTTAGTTAGTTGATGGAATTAAGAGAAAAACTTTTCTTTATATTTTCTTTTGAATTGAGAAGGGCATTTACATGTTTTAAGATTATTGTCAAGCGAGTTCCAAAGTTTAACTACAACTGTTGAGATCCATTGCAATTTTTTGTAGTTCTTACTGTGTTTAGCTTAAATACATTTTTTTGTCTAGTACTATAAGTGTCTGCGGATACCAATGTAAAGAGTTTCTGCAAAGTAAATGGCAATGAAGTATGATGTGTTTTAAACATAAAAATAGCAGTTTTCATCTCAATTATTTGTTCAAGTTTCAATAATTTCAATTTAGTAAATAGTGGTTCCGTATGATCTAAAGAACAAGCTTTACTTATAATTCTGATTATTCTTTTTTGTTTTAAAACTAAAGGAACTAAATTTGTTTTATAAGTATTCCCCCATACTTCGGTACAATAATTTAATTGAGGGAGAAATAAGGAACAATATAACGTATGAAGTGCCCGATTATTCAAAATATGACTGGCTTTATAGATTATTGCTGTACATTTAGATAGTTTTTTTGGATACAATCAAAATATGCTCTTTCCTGTTCAATTTGTGTTCAATTAAAAATTATTTATACTCATGGTGTCATCAAATTTTTACGGCTATTTGTAAATAATATAAATATATATGTTTTCGAAACGTTCAACGATAGCTTATTGACAGCAAACCAAACGTTAAGTTTATCCAACTCATTGCTGATTTGTCTACATAATACTTTCATATTTTCATTTGAACACAATACATTCGTATCATCAGCAAATAATATAAACTTCAATATATTTGATACTCTGCATATATCATTGATATATAAAATAAATAATTTTGGTCCTAAAATTGAACCTTGCGGAACACCAGTTACAAATTTATATACAAATTATTCTGATCTAACTTCATAAAAACTAACATATTGTTTCCTGTTACATAAGTAACTGGTGATCCAGTCTAAAGCAATACCTCTAATGCCATCAATTTATAATTTCTTAACTAACAACACATGATCTATGGCACAACTGATCCATTAAAAATGAACTCGTTTACAATATACCTGCTATGAAACATCATAAAAAATAAAGATTCAGAGATTGGCTTGTTGTTTGTTTCTTTGTTTGTTGGCTGGTTTAGTTTCGTCGGTTCGCTCGGTTGGTTGACTAGGTGTTTGATTGACTGACTGATTAGATAAACAAATAAACTATACCAAAATACGGTGAGTCCAGCGAAATGAGTATTAAGTTGGCCTACATTAATAAATTAGGTCCATTTGTAAATCTTGAAGCTTGTATCGTAGTGATCATCATTAGTTTCGTGTCTATTGTTGGCTTGTGCTAAGTAGTGTTCCCCGTCTCTCTCAAAACTGCTCCAGCTCCAAACTTCTCTTGCTGGTAAAGATGAGTGCTCCACGAACATGGTGCCCTCTAATTTGTAGATAATGTTTTGAACGCTATACGACCCGTCTGTCCATGCTGTCCGAAGGCTTGATGTGATCATAAATACCTCTCTTCCTATCTGTAAATAATCCAGAGGCAAACATTAACACCTGTCTGAGAAATTTAATTTCTGTTTTCAGTGAACATCATAAATATAGTTGGTAAAAAGTTACAATTTAGCAGATATATAGACATTTTGGATTTTATATATTGCTATGAAATATAGGCCTAATGGAAAGTCAGCCATGGCAACCCTGCATGGAGCAGCGTACACCGGTAGATAACAGGAATAGATAGAAGTAAAAATCCCATTGAAAGTGGAGCTTGACTGTACTCCGGTGTGACCAGCGATGCTAATCAAATTATGCCAAGATCTGATGGGATTAATCGCCAAATTTAAAAATTTCAATAAACGTCTAATTTAAAAGCAACACTTTTCTATACTATTCTGTCCAGTGATGTGGCTAGGATTGACAGGAGGTCTGCAGTGGCATCTAGGGAAGTGGCATGGGAGGGGGAGAGATGAACTCCAAAAAATACTTGCCCCGCGTCCACCATAAAAAAAATGGTCGCAGTAAAATCACCTTAAATCGCCTTTTATTGCGGTCTGGCGCTCATACTTAATCATCGAGCACCCCCTCCCGGCTTCACCTTCTTCCCCCGCCCCGCCTCATTTCAAGGCTCCTAGATAGACCATGGAGGTCGGAAGGGGTTGGCAAGGGAAAGGCTCATTTTCCGACGGGAGAAGGAGGGGAGTTAGTGGTATCCCAGAACCCTCACAGGGGACAGGGAACTCTCCTGGACAGGAAAGTCTAACAACTTAGAGATTTGAAAGACTTTAAACGAGTCTCGCACCTTGTAAGAAGCTTTTTTCTCCAGGACACTTTTTTTTCCTCCCTGAAGGGGCCTGAAGGGGAGGTCCCCTTGACCAGGGGGTGGAGTACTGTGAGCAATCGGACTCCACTGGTGCCAACACTCATTCCGTCATAAGTATTTTCTCGAAATAACAATATAAATAAAAATATTTTATTAGAAGGGTCACAGGAAGGCACTTTCACAGATGGACGATCTAGACCACCTCTGCCCCCAACCATTGTGAAAATGTATGAAATGTATGAATTGGTTCTTAATTAAATGTAATGGAGATTCAAAGTCTTGCCCTGATGGAGAAGCTTACAGCTTACAGTACCAGATTTGACAGTTTCCATGTTATTTCAAGTCAAAGGTTATCTAAGCTCAAATACTGGGAAACATGATATAATGTGATGGTACAGGTAGTTAGCAAAATTATTGAATGAGCTCGTTCGTGGAATTTGCTTGAATAATCTCGAAAATTCAAAATAGTCGCCATATTTTTATTTTTAACTAATATAGTTACAGAAGAAATGACAAACAAATGTGTATAAAAACAATGAAAGTGAATTCCAAAAATTGTACATCGATCACATGCCCTTATAAAATGCAAATTAGCTTAATAATACAAATTCGATGGGGAAATATTAGGCCTATATAAGGCATCCGTATTTCGACAACCGCCGATCGTAAGAAGGTAATTTTCTCTCAAAATATTCAGTTATGCATGTTTCTAATTTCTTACGATGAGACATATTTTCCAAAAATGACATAATTTTTGACACACAATACACCTCTCCTATAGGCTTGGATCAAGCTTTAACCCCCACCAGACGTTTAAAAAAGCTCTCCCATTGTTTTTGTTATTCCCACGCCTCATGTACCAAACGCTCAAAATGTCATGCTTCTGTTACAAAACGCACGGTTATATAAATTCGAATCATGTTTGCCTCGTACTTTCAATTTTATTGATTTAGACGTGACGTATTCATCATCACCATAATAATAATAATAATAATAATAATAATAATAATAATAATAATAATTTTATTGATTTAGACGTGACGTATTCATCATCATAATAATAATAATAATAATAATAATAATAATAATAATAATAATAATAATAAATAATAACAATAACAATAATAATAATAATAATAATAATAATAATAATAATAATAATAATAATAATAATAATAATAATAATAATAATAATAATAATAATAATAATAATAATAATAATAATAAAGCACATTACCTTGAATATTATTGAATCGGTTGGACAATTTATCATTGGTATTTTCTGATGAATTTCGAATTGTTCGCTTACTGGATTCCACCGATAAACAACTGCAGATTGAGCGCAAAGATAGTGTTTAATGAGAACGAGAAAGATACCCATGTCTGTTTCAAATGACTTGAGTGATAATCCACCTCCACTGGACTCTGGTAGCGACTGGATCACAGACCACGAACCTTATATTAAATTATACACATTGCATTATCAATCGTTTATTCCATATATTATGTTACTAGAGGCCTGGGTGGGCTCGCATCGCTCGCTTACCCTTTAGTATATGTTAACGTTAGTTTCGATACAAGAGAACAAATATTCATGACCACTAAAAGAAGATAGGTTGCATTTTGCATGTTATGTAAGTACGCCATTCTGTATTGTCAGGACCCCTTGCCCTATTAACTGTGATGACGAAACGATGTGTAAGCATATTCTTAAATGTTTATGCAATGCGTTTTTAAACTTTTACTTGAAGGCCAACACTAATGTGTTTAAAATTTATACAAAATACAGTGACCCGAGCCGTGTTGTTATTATGTATGAATGCTTGAGGGCTATCTCGGTTGTTGAACACCTTGTTCGTTAGCGTTTTGATGTTCAGCTTTATTTTAGTGTAGTGTAAGTGTTTGTATTATTGGCAGTGAAAAAAGAATTTCCATGTAGGCCTATCTAATTCTAATCAAATTATGTCAATTTAACTTATATGCATGAAATACAACTTCATGCTGTTCGGAAGCGCCACAAATCCAGGCAGTATATTGGAGACCACTCAATTCCACATGTTCAACACACAACATTCCTAGGTATTGACCTCGACCACGAACTTCATTTCAAAAATCATATAAAAGAAGTTGGACTGAAAATAGCAAAAACTATTGGTATTATCTGTTGTCTATTTTTTTTCGTCTAAGGATACTTCACTCCATTTATTCATCCCTTGTTCTACTCTTTATTATTTGCTGCAATACTATCTGGGCAAACAATTACAAAGCCAATCTTGAACAAATTCATAATTCGTGACAATTCAAATTCTCTATCGTTAGATGTTAACGACTAATATAGTTATTATTATATAATATAGTTTAGGCGAATAATGGTCTATTATGAATTATGAGGAAATATGCTTTTGAAAAACGAACGGCAGTTTAATATTCTTCCGCGTTACCGGATCTCTAAAATTTCGTCTGCTATTTAAATTAGCTCTTTTCATTGGTTAGTTTGATAGTTGTTGCTTGCCAGCCGTCTTCAGCTAAACTACAACTAGGACTTGATTAGTCGTAGTTAAAACTTCGACTACGTTGTTTGTGAATACATGATTGAAGTTGAAGTTACAACTACGACTAAATGAAGTTCGAAGTTCGACTAAAGTTCGTTTTAAGAATACGGGCGTTAGGATCCTTTTCGACAACCTAGTCCCATGAGTCGGATCAAAACAAAATTATTTTTTGGCCATAATATTTATACAAACAACTCTCAAAACAGCTTGAATTGCCCAAAGTTTTCCATTTTTTTTAACCACTTGAAGATTTTCTCTCTTACTACAGAGTATCACACTATTATAATTATGGTAATCGGCGTTTCATACAATATAGGCCTACCTGGGGCGGGATTGCTATAAAACGGTCTTAACGGGTAGTCTTAACTCCTCGAATAAAGCCGGCTTTATCACTTAGACGGTCTTACTAAAGTAATTCCTCTTAAACCATTGTTATAAAAACAGTCTTGCCTAAGACCACTTTAAGTATTGAAACGCAAACAAGCACTCCCTGGTAACGTAAGATTGGGAGGGACGTCATGAGTGCTCGACGCACGCAAATGTATGAAAATGAACGTAAATAAACGTAGACCTATTTTTACAGACGCTGAGAAGCGTGCGGAATATTCGTCGTTCAGTTCTCCGACTTTGACGATCTAGGCCTAGGTCCATGTCATTGCACTGTTGAATTAATAAGCAGAACGCCATGTTGAAAATGATTTAAGTCCATTTTAAGCCTCCTCCGAGTAGGCTTTAAAATTTAAGACGGCTAACTGGTTAGACCGCGGTATAGCAATGGTCTATTATAATCATTGACCAGTAGTGACGTCACGATTATAGCCGGCTAACCGTTAAGACCGTCTAAAGACCGCTTATAGCAATCCGCGCCAGCTTATCTGGGTGTAAGATACATTAACTGATAACATTCCTGTCAGCCGCAGTAGTACTTATTCATATTATTACTTTTGGTGTAACAGATAAGCGCATTCATACTGTAGTTAGGTCTAAGTTTAAAACAACCTACCTACCTGGTGATTCCATTTTGTAAATTACGGATAGTACGTCATATGAGGTGTAATGGTAATTTGCCATTGCTGCGAAGATCTGCCCATTAATTTCAAACAATGTAGAAAAGTAAGCGCCAGTAGTTGGTAGCAAAGCAATCTGAGAAAATTCTTCAGTGTCGTCGCTCCAATGATAAACCACAGAATTAACACTATACGATGTTAAGTAATGATTCGCTACAAGTAAATACTTGTTCCCGTCATTCGCTTTCAAATACGATACACTAGTAGGGCCATATGTGGTGAATGTTTGGTGAATTGCAAACTCGCCTGAAAATCAAATATACATGATAGCTGTCACAATCACAATCTTTATATAGGCCTTATACACACGTACGTACACCCACATACATACATATATGAATACACGCATACATACATACTTCTCCACTCACATAATTAATCCTCACATGTACCCACATTCATTATACATTATATGCATATTATTATAATAATATCATTAATATTTTTAATCGAAAATGTCTTAGATTGGTACATTTACATTTTGTATTTATAAACACCAAACTGTCTATCCTATTAATGTTGAATGAGTTCTTCCAATACGCCCGACCGTTTTTATTGCTTTATGATCGATCCAGGTTGGCCTATAAATGAATACTTCACTAATTTAAAACTAAAAAAAAATCGTCGCAACTGCAAGCATTGGATTAAAACATAGACTCCGCAACAGCAATTTTTGTTTATTTTATATTTATTTTCATTATGAAATTTTAAAATGTTATTTTAACTAAGTAAGTAATGTCACTGTAAGCCTACATCGTCTCTTCTCTGGCGTTTTTAGTTAGTTTTAGAAAAAAACTAAAGACCCTCACCTCCTTATAGAACTCACTGAGGTATGGCGCATTACCCAAATAATCATATAATAAAATATATATAGGCCTATAATATATATATATATATATATATATATATATA